TAACTTCACCTCAGGCTCTGGTCAAATCTAGTTACAGGCAAGGAACATTTGGAGAGAGATGATGAATACCACTGAATAGAGACTATGCTAAATTCCTGTAGCATAAAGTCAGTGCTCGTCAGATCATCCTGTGCAGCACTGTAATACTAGTTATCAGCAGTGCCTACATTGTGGATGCAGAATTATTCTCCTACTTGGAGTACATCAAAGTTTCCTTTGCAAGAAAACTTGGTGTGGAGGAAAGGAAGATGTGCACATCTGTTCAGCAGTATTAGGATTCAGCAAATATTCATGCCAGTAGGAAGAAGAAAGGAGAATGAGTCCACAGGCATGCAGAATGGTTGTTAAGGGTAGGTTGGGTTAATAAGCAGAGAAACTGCATTAGTATGATGGCCATTATATAGCAGGTACCAATTAGGCTTCTCTTCCTTGCAGTCTAATCTGTGCAGTTCTGCAAGAGCCTGTACATCTCTAAAGCTAACCCCAGTATCTCACCTTGGACACTACTAGGAGCTGATCTGATATCGTATCTAGACCATTTGCTTCAACAATCCTTGTTGAATGTGATCTGCAAAGAAATGAGCTCACCTTAAGCATCTTCATGCTTAATTCTGTACAGAATTAAAAATTACCACAGTTCTATGATACACTTAGTTTAAGGATGAAAGAGGCAGTCTCTTTGTAAATTCCAGTCTAAAATAGCACTTTAGCTGCTACAGATATAGTGATTTCTAGTAATTAGTCTGAAAAATTCTGCCAATTCAATCCAGAAATGTCATCAAAAGAACTGTAATTATTTTTCCAGATAAACCAGTCATGCTTCATAATGATTTCTAAATAATTGCAAAAATTAGAACACATTGTCTTTTTGCTTTCAATCTACTCTTTTCTTCCCTATTTGTAATTTTTCTCTTTATTTGACTGTCTCTCATTTTCCAGATGATATGACCAATTCTCTGGACAGTTATTACACACTTGACAGTGTGTACGTAACATGCTATATTATAAACACCAGCTATAATATTCTCCTTTTCCTGTTTCTATTTTATCATTCTCTTATTTAGAGAAATTGAGATCTAAGACATGAGAGATTGTTCACTGAAAAAAGATGTAGCTACATCCTGGTATGTAGTCTAAGTTAGCTGAACTATTTCTAGTACATACTGGCAAGCTAACAAAAAAAGCATTATTATGATTCTCTAGGTCTTTCTCTCACAACATATTCTGGATATATATAAAGAATATATGACAATAAATTCAAACTATTTACTTTCAGAGAAGCAGTAGTGTTTCTTGACCTTTTATGAAGACATAAATTAATGAACCTTCCTGCATTTATTAGATTCACACTAAGCTTATGATGTTCACCAAATCACGGAAACTGGTGGAAGTTGAGGAAATCAAGTGCCAAAGAGTAAGATTTTGTTTCAGTGTCATATATGACATGCTTACAGTGTTCCCTTTTCAGTTTCTAGGGATGCTGGCATGGCCAAGGTTAACCCAAAAACTTAAGGATAGCGTTTTAAAAAGGAAGATTTAAGATACTATAGTGGTACTGACTGCTGCACTGATGCATCAGTGTTAAGAAGGGAATCTCCTGCTGGATAGCAAGATGCATTGCCCTGGGCCTGGACTTAAGCCTAGGAGTAGATATAGGAATAGACTGTGTCTGAGAAATAGGCCAGAAAGCACCCATTCTCATGGTACAGAAATGGCATGAAAGAGCAAAGACACTGAACCACTTCTAGAGTTTCTGGTTTAAGGCAAGTATACAAAACCAGAGCCAAGATGAAGAAAATAGATTTAAGAGAAACATACAGCAGCTCATAATCTTCCTACTGGTATTACACTGTAGTTGGCTGTGGAGTCCTTTGAATGGGATATAGTAAACTAATACAATGGTGAGTTGGCTATATTCTCCTCCAATTAGCAGAATTTCTGTGATAATACTCAGAAAAAAACAACTAGTTATTGCTCAAGAAGAAATTAAAATAATTAAGTAAAGAGTATAAAATCAGGTCTTAATCCTAAAATTCTTATTCCTTAAGACTGGTGAATCTAGTCTGCATTTACAAATACTGAACAAGACTGAAAAACAGTGCAAAGAACACTGCAATAATCTCACAGGAAGGGAAAAAAGCTGAAGTGGATTTTTTCCTGAACAAAGTAGAAAAAAGAATGATTCAAAACTGTACAGGGAATGAGAGCAGCAAAGTCAAGCTGAGTATGTGTTTTTAGCTACATTTACACCAAGTCATTCACTGCCTTTGGGAATGGCAGTAAAGTTACAGAGCAGGTACATCAAAGTTTCTTCTTGTGGTTGTGATACATCTGTATGTGGAAACAGTTCTTCCAGTTCAAAACTGTCATCATGAATTCAAAGAGCTAACTCTGCAAAAGACAAAAATGAGAAGACTATAAATACTGGAGGGAATAAAACTTAGGAAAATGGTGAAAGCAAGAGTGCAATAAATGGCATTAATATACAGAAATAGAGAGGTTACAACTTGAAGAAATCTTTCCATTGGTTATCTGGACACATTGTTTTAATCCAAAACATTAGGACATTTAAAGCCAGATAGGAAAAACCCCTGCAAATGGGAACAATCTTACTTTGACACATTACTTTTAATGTCTTTTTTTATCCTTAAATTCTACAACCAGAAAAAGATCTACTGGTTAATATATCAACCTTTAACCCCAAAACAATGTTAAATATCAGGCAGCTATGCTAGGTATTTCAGCTGTAGAAAACGCTCACCGGGAAATTCTGAACATCTGGCTGGCTACTGATGTTCATTACTGATCAATCTTGATACAATGCAGAAATTCCAGAGGACTGGAAAAAATTATGTCAGTATTTCAAATTGTTAAATTGAATCATCAGGATAACTTTAAGTCAGAGGGAAAATAATGAAAAAGTTGATACAGAGTAAAGCATGTAAATATAACTAATACTGATACAGATTTATAGAAAAGACAGTTTGTCAAATGTATTTGATTGCTTAAATGAGACCATAAGTTGGCAGATAATGGTAAAAGTTTGGATTGATATTCTGAGGCTTTTATAAGGCGTTTTGATTTAGAAACCAGAATGACACATAATCAATATGGTTCTCATTAAATGGATTAAAGACTAGTCAGGAGTTAAGATCTCAAAGTACCTCAGTAAAAGGGAATAATCACTGGCCAGCTGCATTCTGAGTGTAGCCCCCGCAAGAACTGTTTCTTGACTTTTTTAATCCTCCCCTCACTTCAATTAGGATTATTTCAATCATGTTTTATCCAAATGATGTCCTAGAGCTTCTGCAACCCAGAAAGCAAGCCTAGATACTAACAAGATTGTGGCTGTCTGATCTAAGAGCACAGAGTGGGATATAGGAAGAACTACCATGAGTCCAGAACTGTAGCACTGAACTCTTCTGTTCGGTATTACTTCATACTGAAGGCACCTAAATTCAGTAGATTCCACAATTTTTACTTAAGCATTTCACAAGCGCCCAACATCTACTTATGCGGGTATCCAGAAAAGCCTCAGTCTTGACTCCTAAGCCCCAGTTTGCCAGTATCTTAGGAGTGGTTTATTCACAGCTTTCATGCTGTGCCCAATGCACAGCAATAAGGCTTACCTCCTTCCTCTCCTTTTTGAATCTTAAATCTTCTCTATAGAAAGGTAGTTATTCAGCAAGAGGAGTAGCTTGCCCACACTCTTCAGAGCACCAGAACATGTGTTTGAGATGCTCTCTGTGGGACATGTGGGTCTGACTTACTCAGAGTAAGGAATTTAATCCAGACCAGCTGCATCTTAAGTCAACAGTCTATTATATAAGTGGACTGGTATTAGCTCTCTTTGATCCTCCTCTTTTGCTATTTCAGAAGAAAGGAAGTATTTCTGCTCAGTATAAGCTGAAAACATCAGGTCAGCAGAAAAACACCAATTCCTGCCTTTGAACTTTCCTGAAGCTCCAAGTTGAAGCATAAGCTGTATAAAGAGCAAGGTCTAATATTCAGCCGTCCTTAAATAGCCACTTGCTCAGTGTGTGTTTTGTTCTGAACCTTATTCTGAGGCCCTACTTCTCCCCACATAGTGGGGACTGAGCATACCGCATCTAGAGTATCAGGTTCTCCTCTGGGGCCTGCACAGATAAATCTTTATCTACCAATAACCAAAAAGCAATAGCTGTCAAGAATAAAAACGGAAGGTGGCAGAAGTTAAGAGTAGCTGTTATGCCTAAAACTTGTGCTTAAAATCCATTTAAAATCTCTTTCTCCCCACCCTACTCCACTCCCCCTCCCAAAAAGGTCTCTTCTCTGGTCAGACTCATGAGCAGCTTATTTTCATGACTTGTAGTATAGTTGCATGTGACTGGTAACACAAACATTGTTTTTTCCAGACTACTTAGGCAGAGATTAATCATTACATAATGCTTTGTGTTGGGAGACAATGGAGGACATGTGTCTAGAAACACAATAAACTGGCAAAAAAGACTGCTGTAATTGTCAGGAGCATGGCAATAATTGAACACTTTGTATATGTTACTAGATGAGAAGCAAGCCATAAAAGATCTTAAAAGTGAATTCACACAGTTATCTGATTCACTAGAAAATTATGACTAACTGGGAAGACAGGGCAAGGAGAAGGAAGGATTAAAATGCTTTAATAGACAAGTTGTTTCTCAAGGCTGGAAAAGATAGTTTATTTTGAGTTACAGAAATTTAAATAGATACCTTTAAAACCTTTTTAGCTATGTAAAATTAATGGAGAATTATAAAGGACAGCTTTGCTGGAATAATGTAAATGAGATTTCCACGGATGAATCCAAGTATAAACATTTTGAGCCATATTCTCCATGCTTATAAAAATATCCTCTCAAAGTAAAATGGCTTGCTAAGTAATTAAATATGTAAAAGCTGAATCAGAAGTTAGATTCAAAACAGACTTCTGGAGTGAAAACATCAACTTTAAATGCAGGATGTGCTTCACGTTTTTGGTTGAGGATTTTTTTGTGAAAACAAAGTAAAAAGAAACTAGTAACTTGTACACAAATAGTCAAAATTTATCTGCAAGTCCTTTAAATTTTTGTTCTTCTAACATGAACGCATTTAGAAATAGAAGGCAAAGTGGATCCTCAGCTGCAACTTGGAGCATTGTGCTCCACCTGATCCACAATCTAGACCCTTCTCTTCACCGTCTTTCCGCACAGATGAGGTATGGTTCTGGTTGTAATGTCATGCCTAATCTTGGTTTGAGATCTGGAATCACGCCATGAGGAAAACACAGGTGAAATCGTTGTAGTAATGAAGTGAAAAACAAAAACATTTCCATTCGAGCTAGCTGTTCTCCAAGACAATGTCTTCTTCCTGGATTGAAAAGAAGGTTTTCAAAAGGCTTAAAATGTATTCAATTACATTTTCAGTCTTATTATGAATAAGAATGGTCATTTCTGTGTTCTAAAAGGAGCTGTATGAACTTGGTGGTAGTATTCTGTAAGAGAGGCTAGGTGATAATTTACAGCAAGAAACAGGTTTGTTCCTCTTGCTACACAAATGCCATAGTAACTAATTCTGTCAAATTCATTTAGATAAGCTATTAGCTACTTTATCTTGTCTTGAAGTGCCAATCTAGACAGAAGATGTTTTAAAAAATTGATACCGTGAATTTCAGCCTTTGTCCCCTACTATTTTCTTAATTTTATCTACTGCCAGTCATTATTACCTGGCAAGTATTATAACTTGGCAAGTAGAAAGATGTGAAACAGGTCTGGATAATGCCTTTAAATATTACTTCCCATTCCATGTAGGACTAGTTACAGGGAATAAATGTGGTTGTGGAAGACACAGATGAATGGATAACATCTAGAACTAGTGAGATCAAACAAGCAAAAAGAAATGTAATAGAATACACAATAAAGGTGGACTTCATCAAATCTAACTTTGGCCATTTAGAGTTGTGCCTCTATTCCAAGGGAATTGTCTTATCTCCTATTTTTTGGAGAAAGAGTATCCCAGATAAGTAAACCAAGTCACCCTCTACACAAGGCTATGTCTTTCTAAGGGCTGCAGAGGTAGCCCTGGCAGTTAGCTTATATGGAACACCTAATTTTTTAGGTTGAAAATCATACATAAGGTAAATTATCCACTCGTAACAGGCATCAAAAGACAAATCCATAATGATTTAGGACTGCCAGAGTATTTCCTCAGGACAGAATGCAATGCTATGTGCTGACACTCAAGCTAGTTCTGAATAAAATCTGCAATTTCTGGTGCTGATCTAAGTGCTGAAATTTGAAAGCTGGTTGTGTAAATCACCTGTATGTAATGACTTTAGCAGCAAATGACTATTAATTGTGAAACCAATAACATTTAATGTACTGCAATGATATAAAATGTATAGACCACTGAGATGACATTGTGCTTTTTTGTTAGTTTATATATAATAATGAGCTCATCTATATAAAAGATATTATGCTAAAATGTGTTATGTCCCAAGTGCATTACATTCAATATCTTTCAAATGGCTGTTTCATCAGAACTGTGGATATTTTATATCATTCTGTCCATTCCTGATTTATTGCCATCACTTATGTGTTATACATTTCTAGATTTATGAAAAGGAACAGTGAAAGGAATCACTCTTACCTAGTGAAAAAGGAATAAATGCATCTTTCTTGACAAACTGCCCGCTGCTGTCCAAAAATCTCTCAGGACAAAACACTTCTGGATTGCTCCAGTATTTTTCATCAAAATGAACGGAGTAGAGGTTTGTAATGACTGTCGTGCCTTCAGGAATAGAGTAACCACGCACAACAGTATCTTTGGAAGTTGCGTGAAAAATACCTAGTGGAGCTATATTACAGAATCTTAGAACTTCATGTAGAACAGCCTCAGTGTATGGCATTTTGCATTTCTCTTCTAAGGCAGGCATTTTGTTTGGGCCGATGACTAAATCGATTTCTTTTTGAACTTGCCCTGTTAGGAACAGGAATAAAAAGCTGATGTTTATCATGTAATATCCTTTATTTTTTAATTTAAGCTATAAAATATATACTTTTAAAAAGGATACTGAAACATGAAATATCTTATATAAAATATAGTAGCTTATAAGCTTTTAAATTTAGACTCTATATTCCTTACCCCACTAGTAGGAATTATTACTAGCATATATACCAGTATTCTCAGTAAAACTGTGTTTTAACATACTTTTTTTTGCTTGTGTATATTTTTATTTCTGGAGCTCTTCAAAACTAAAGAAACAAGCAAAAGAGTGCAAAGATAAAGTACATCATTAAATACTTGAGTGAACACAGATAACACTGAAATTAGCCACTTGAACTTTCCCTTGTCTAGTTCTGATTCTTTAGAATTGTCACAGTGCAAAATCATTCACTCTTAAACTGAAAATAACTCATACAACACAGAGTTAAGAGGGACAGGAGACTGAATTTAACTGAAAAGGAACAAATTCAATCACTGCGGTTTTTTAACCTATTTGTAAAATTAAGTTCATAGGTTGTTTAAATAATCTCAAAGGCATTCAATCTTCTTTTTCCTGATACACTTTCTTTGTTGAAACTGCCAAACAGCTCGTAACTAAAACAAAGCTGGACTTTTACAGTTCACGTGGAACGAATAATGAAAGTCTGGACAATGGCAGAAAAATTCTACCAAAATCACCAGGTTTTTCAACCTGAAGTGACAATGTTTCACATCAAAATAGAGAGGTAAAAAGCAGCTTAGTGAAAGTACATTCTGTGATGTAGTGGTGTATCGGTGTATATTGTAATACTTGGACAAAGAAAGTCTAACTAAATGAAAGGTAACTAATTTTTATTTTTATCCAGATGAACTGATTTTTAATCCAAATTCAGAAACTCATTGTATCGCAAGATCTGAGATCAGAAGATTATTTTAGGTGAGTGGATCTCTACAAAATTGTCCAATGCATAGGAGACACAAAGCTAGAAAGTTTTCTTGATCCTTCTTGAAAAACACTATCTTGGTCAGATCTTAATCAAGAAAGGAATAAGGTTGTTCTTGGTTTAAGATATGAATATTGTTTGTGAGCCAGGATAGACTGATCAGAAACCTTGATATATGTGGACCTTTTTGCATTTGGGCTTTTTTATTATGTAAAGCATAAATATATCCTATTGACTAATTATGCCACTTAATATATTTGTAACTAAAATATGGACAATGGATATATACATCCTAAAACTTAAGTACCTATAAAATCAGACTCAATTTTTTTACATTTTATTAAGTGTTTTTCTTTTTTGGTAGATTTTCTTATTATACTGTGTAAAGCATATAGATGAATCAGTGGAACTCAGAAGCATGAAAGCAACATTTAATTTTTTTAAACTCATTTGTTTTAAATCATCTGAAATGTGCTGACTGGTTAAAAATAGCAATCGCAGTTTTAAGCTTCCACAAGCTACATATTTCTCTTAAGTATGTCCCTCAAAGCTTTTAAAATTAACAACTCAAATCATGTTAGATCTTGCTTTTAATCCTAGGCTAGAAGAAAGTTTTCCTATTTTTTAATCTTTAATCAGTTTCTTCCTGTTCAATTAATTAATCAACTAACTAAAATAGTTGAGTAAATGAAAATAAGAAAATACGTAAGAGGTTATGGCTTTCGGGAGTTATTTGAGCGAACTTTGGTTCTACTTGCTTAGCCAGATATTTTAACCATCTCAGTGAATATGGGACTTAAAATAATGATAATAGCACAACAAAAGAGCTTTGGCATCAACTTCTTTATTTAATCTGAATGATTTTCACTGTGTATAGCATGCCAGGCCTTGACATACGTTATCATCATATTTTAATTTTCTTTTTTTTCTCAAGTAAAGCTGTATTTACCTTAAACATAAATATAAAATTTCGTCTGCAATTTTAAAATAGTAATTGCTTTTTGTGCACCCAACTTCAATTAAAAATTATTCTAGCTGAGAAAATCAGAAGGTATACAGTCATACACCTACTACCATAAGAAGAAAATACAATCTTTCATACACAAAGATATCTGGTTCCTATGCAGGACTTCAGCTCATAAGAGCCATGTAGCTATAGGTAATGTTGTTATCCCCATTCTGAAAGGATGATGGTGGTGGAATTGATGTTAGAGCAATATTCTTTGATCAATGTATCAGTAGTAACTTTCCAAGCTATCTAGGCCACTCTTTCTCCAAATACTGAAAGTCCCTAGTTGAACTAAGCACTGCTAAGGTTTTGATAGGAAAAGCAAAGTGGAGGCTGTGAAACAAGAAACGTGACTGTTCACTTCTAAATCCAAACTTCTACACAAAATGTCTGGGCTGATATTCAAACATCTATTGCTGTCTTGCTTCAGAATGACTGTAACACATCTTTTTATTTTTATATGCTATTTTTGTTCTTCCAAAGGTATAAATATACATCTATAATATGTAAATCTACTGTGAATTGAGGCACTTAAGGATAAAAAGAAATGATACCTAAACTGTTAACCACAACCTGATTTACATTTTTGCTGATGTTTCTATATTTTTCATTTAGTTTATTAATTTCATATTTAATTGCATTTGCTTATTATTTATTAACTACCTAGATTAGTACACCTGCCAACCAATATTATGCATCACAACACTAAACTTAAATATATTAGACATACTTTATTAAAAATATTAAAGCTTCATAAAAATGTATTCACAAAATAATATGCTAAAATTTTATCATCATACTGGACTTTTGATATCCTCTCCATCTGCATATAAAATAAGCTTTTTGCCTCTGTCCATAGTCTATTTGGTAAATGATACAACAGAATAATATATACAAACCTTCCTTTTTGGTTATGACTATGGATCACTGCACCACTTTGAAAAAGCATTTTAAATTTGCAATAGCAAAGTGTATCAGTTCCTCAAAAAGTCAAAGTTCTTACCTTGAATGTTTGGATAAAGAGCCATAAATAACACTGCCCATCTTAAAACATTTGTTGTGGTTTCTGTGCCAGCTATGATGAGTTCTCCAACAGAGAAAATTAAGTTTTCTCTTGAATATGTAGATTCTGGATCATTTTCATTGCAATCCATCTCATCTAAATATGCATCTACAAAATGTCGAGGTGACTGAGGCTTCCTGTTTTCAGAGACACGTTCAATAAGCTCATGAAGAAAGTCATAGACTTCAGCTGCATTTTTAAACAGCTGCTGGTGTTTCCCAAATGGCAAGATACCAATCCAAGGAAAAGCGTTATATAAAAATACAGAAGCACTAGCAGCTAATTCAATATTTTCACTAAAAATCTCAATCATGTGCTGAAATTCAGTATCTTCATATGTAAAACGTTCTCCAAAAATAATCAAATTAGTAATGTTTGAAACAGCATTTGTTATCAAGTGCTTAAGATCAAATGGTCTGCCTTTGTATGTATCAATGGCATCAAGAAAAAATATAGATTCTTCTGAAATTTTGTGTTCAAAGGACCTTTGACCATATCCAAAAATTCGAAAGGTATTTACAGCTAATCTGCGGTGTTCTGTCCATCCTCTGCCATATTTACTGTTCAGTAAGCCTGAAAAAATATTTTGACACAGTATTTTATGAAACGCTTTACTTTTCCCCCAGAAGATAATAAAAATTATTTAATGAGACAAAAAATTACACACATCTTGCTATGGAACATAGTCCAAGAGTGACAAACCTTTCCAAATAATATCTTTAAAGAAGCATCAAGTATTTTATGAAAGGAGATAAAGAAGTAGAGAAAAAGGCTAAAGCAAACGTTTCATGTGATCACAAACCCAACTATTGGACAAAAATTACATTTTTATATAAAAGATGTTAGCACTTACCTCCCATGTTTGTCAGCTTCCTAAACAAGGGAAGAGACGGTCTGTCGGCAAAAATTTCACTTTGATGAACGAGGCATTCTTTTACTGCATCATAGCCATTCAGGACAATAGCAGATATACCTCCAAGATCAAGACTGAAGATCTTTGGGGGAAAAAAAATAATAAAAATTGTAAAATGCTATTACAATCAAATCTTAAGAACAGATAATGAAAACAAGTAAAAAGTAATGAAAAAGTGAAACAGCACTAAACATCAATGCAAAATACAGTCTTGAATAAACTTCAGTAGGACATACAGGTAACCAGAGGTGATACAACTGTGGCATTACACAGTAGAGTCTGTTGTGAGCTAATTTGCTCTGTCAAAAGATAAAGTAAATTAGCTCACACTACATTCTGTGCTTTGCTGTGCACCTAAAATGACCAGCTCTCCAAAGTAAGGACTGGGGATGCTTTCATATGGTCATCAAAAACCCATGAATTTGGTACAACAAGGCACATTTTTCAGAAAAAATGTCCTGTCCCCTAACATTAGTAGATACAAGTATATACATATAAGTGTATAATATAACATTACTAGATATAAGGTAGAGTTTTTAAATAAGAACTAGAAACAAAGTACATATATGGTCTACTTTCCTAATTTGCTGAGATGATTTTCACTGGAGGGAGGAAAGCTTTACTACTGTATCTGCTCCTCCTCCCTGCCTGAGTAAAGGTAAATTCCAGTAGCTTAATTTGGTTAAGGGCACTATGACTGAAGCTACAAGTTCATAACACAAAGACTTCCAACATGTCACTTAGCAATGGCAGGCACAGAAGTGGTGTCAGTTGTGAAGACAACCAAGCTGCACCCAGTCCTTTCTACCTCTGAAACTGGACACCGGCTTACTTTGCACAGGCTCCCAAAGAACCATCAGATGAAAGAAGTGAGAGCCGTGATGACAGCCAACAAATGACAGCATAGCCCAGCTAGTCCCATCTCCCGTTTCCAGAAGTGGTTAGCACTAGATGCTTTGGAGAAAGATGCAATACATCCTGCAGAAGGCACATACAGGATAAACAAAATGAAAATCTTAACCTAAGTTTTAAAAATTAAAAACGAGGCTAAACTCAAGATTGAAATCCTGTATCCCTTTCCATACTTTTTCTTAGCATTATAAATCTGTATTTTTACCTATACAAATCTCTAGTTTTTCCTTCATCTCAGTGCTGTTGACCTCCACAATATGAAATAGTGTTAGCCTAATTATGCATTCTGTGACAACTGCATTGTCACCAAAAGGGTTATCAAGCACTGGAACAGGCTGCCCAGGGAAGGGGTTGAGTCACCCTCCCTGGAGGTACTTAAAAGACATGTAGATGTGGTGCTTAGGGACATGGTTTAGTGGTGGATTTGGCAGGGCTAAGTTAATTAAGGGTATTTTCCAACCTAAATGATTCTACGACTATTTTGTTTTAGCAAACTTGGTATTTTTCACTGTTATAATGGCTCTTCTTTTTTATGTGAAAAGATGACAATCCCAAAATATTTCTGCAAACCATTTGTGAGTTTTGTATACTTTGATCATAGCTTATTTATCTTTCTTCCTACGTCATACATAATTAAAAAAAAAAATCCTTTCTTTGTATTTTTCCAGAGCCCCACAAATCCTGATATGCTGTCTTCAAGTTCCCTCAAATTCTGCAGGATCCTTTCTGATGGCAGGTGACTAAAACTACACACAGCATTCCAGGCAAGTAGAAAGCTGAGTTTATTTGATGACGTTTTCCTTCCTATTTCCATTCCATTTCTCCTAGTATTTTGCTTGAAACACATTTACTTTTTTCTATTGCCAAAATAAAAGAAACAAAAGATAATATTATCCTTTTGTTCCTGCCATTTAGCATGCTTTTCATTCATGCACATTGCTTCGCTTCTCATTCATGACAAGACCGTGACTTATTCTGTTTGTGCCATAGGTTTCATAAATGATCTGGACAAAAGCTTTTGACGGACCTAAGTTCTAGCAACAGTTTTATTTGCTTGTTAGGGGTGTTATATTTAAACACCTCTAGCAGTTTGAAGGACGTGATTCTTCTAGACAAACGATTGTTTGTTGGACACAAAGCTCAGTCCTTCACAGACCCCCAGTGATAATCCTGCCAAGTAAAACACCACAGGCGTTACAGTCTGGAGATGCACAGGCACGCCGAACGGCTGGCCAGGGTGTGCGCGCTGGCTGGCCAGCTGCTACCAAAACGTACCTACGTGTGTGCGTTTACGTATCTGTACGCATACACGCTTACAAATGCTAACACCTGCCTGCCTTTCCCTGCTAGATGCAGTTTGGGTTTAACTTTCATAAAGTTTGTAAAATTAGATGGGTTGCTTGAAACTGGCTGATGAAAAGAAACACCTGATATATAAGCAAGTATGAAAAAAAGGGAAAAAATCCATTCTTACACAGTTATACTAATTGACTGTAAGTAAGTATTGCAAATATCCCACTGAAGGTACTTTGAAGCAACGTGTTTTCAGTGAAAACGTGGGATTATCCAAGTGCCCGCTATTTGGTGGTTGTACTTTTGTCGATTTTAAGCCCCTTCGGCGTGTCCAAGGCTCAGGGATACGAAACGAGCGAGTTACTTCCATCTGCGGCGGGACCCCGGCGTAAGCATTGTACCAAAACCACAACAGAAAAGCGGGGGCCAGGCTCGCAGGCGGCTCCCCTCCGCCCCTACCGACCTCCGGAGGGAGCTCCGGCAGAAGAGAGGCGAAAAGCCCTTCTCCTCTGCCGCCGGGCTGCCCCTGCTCCCACGGCCGGGGCTGACCGCAGCCCCGCTTTTGCCGCAGCCTCGCGCTCCGGGCCCCGCTACCGAGCGGGCACCGGGCCCTCTCCCCGGCTCCCGGTAGCCGGCGGGGGCGCTCCGCCCGCGGCGACGCCGCTGCCTCCTCCCCGGGGCGGCGTAACCGGC